CTTCATGTTTGTTTAAAAATTTTCAATATTCATATAAAACATAAGTCAAGCGAGCCTTCCAAAAAAGTATTGTAAAAAAATTTTTTATCAATTGTGTAACAATTTTGTGACGTTTCAACGTTTCCCCCTGTTGTACCTAAGATACGTACAGTACTTATACTGGGTACGTATTACGTACATGCTTACGTACCATGTATATATCCAATATGTATATATCTGATATATATGTATCTGTATCTGATATGTATGTATCTGATACGTATGTGTGTACGTACATGTACTCTACTTTTTTTTCTTCTGCGGCTACGTATTGTTTTCTCGGATATTGTAATTTCAGAATTTGAACCAATAGAACATATATAATATTTTGAACTAAGCTTATTAAAATGTTGACAGTCTAAATAACAAAACACTGTTATTTAATAACGAATGGGATAAAAAAGATCGAGACAAAAAAATTTTGACTCTAAAACTTTTTCACACATTCACATGCGGGTTTACTAAAAAAAAAAAAAGAATATTCCAATATTTTTGATCAATGAAATTAATTTTACCGATTTCAGAATTGTACGTATATTTATCATACTGCGCATCAATCGTATTTTCGTTGTTTTATCTAAAACTTATTGTGAATTATAAACAAAGTTTTATGACTATAGGGAACAATACCCCGATACGCAAGTGGCGTAATCTCAATTTCCATATAACTGGATAAATTAAGTCATAGCACTGATCCAATAGCCATAACGATAATACTTTATTTATCCTGTGCCACTTTTATCAATTTTTATCAGTGCAACACAAGCCATATCGATATAACCGATTAACGTTAAAATTTTAGATTAGGTAATGATGACGGAAAATAGAATTCCGCAGTTGTAAAAAGAAGACAGCGCAGCATATTTTTTAATTTCCGATTAGGTTACAAGTATGATGTAAACTGCGCACGATTCAACAATTCAATTTTTTCCTTGGCTGTTCGTTCGGCCGATCTGTAATAGTTTTTGATGGGAAAAACTATAAATATTGAGCCTTAGAACGCTTTTTAATGGCATTCACTTTTTTTTTAACAATCGAAAAAAAAATAAGAGAAATCAAAAAAATAAATAAGAGAAATCAAAAAAATAAATAAAGATCAAAAACTTTTTTCTATAGTAATAATAATAATAATAATAAAATTCTTGAATATATATATAAACTTTTTTTTTCAAAATTTCAATTATTTTCAATTAAAAAACTATGACTGATTATAGCGTAATTTTTCAACCTTTTGTGGACTTGTTTAATCAAGCACAAGTACAAACTATTCTATTGGCATGGCTTCCAACAAAGATAGGACATCTCCTACCTGGAATAATGGCAGTAGATATGTTTATAACTACAATAATTGCTTCAGGACTTACTGTGTTGTGTGGAGCAATATATGCTATGTCACAATCATTTTTTTCGGGTAAAGGTTGGGGTACAAGTTTAGTAACCGTACAGATCGAGTATTATGTTACTGGTAAGTTATAATATCGAAGAAGAATATATACAGTATATGTATATTTTATTTAAATTATATATAAATTATATATAAATTATATATTAAAATTTATATTACATTTTTATAGGTACATATGGAGATCAGTATACCAGCACATTTTACGAAGCTTTATCATGGATCATTTCTAAACAAACCAAAAAATTAGAAAAAGGATCATTCATCGTTCAACCAACCAATGAATATCAAGATAATGATGATGATGAATGTGCACCACCTACATTTAATATTCTTCCTGAAGCGAATCAACAAATTAGCATTGAGTATAAAGGACGTAAATTTAATGTTACATTTAATATGCCAGAAGGAGAGAGTACCGAGAATTCTGGTAATAATAATAATAATAGTTATAATTCAATGGCATCTTCAAAACCAATGCCATCAATTTATTTATCAACAGTTGAAGATTCAAATAGTGATGTTGATTCAATTGCCGAATTTATTAATGAGGTGACGCGTGCTTATCTTGAATCACAAAAAAGAGATAAAATACGAGCAAGATATGAACGTACTGATGGATATTGGTATAGAGTACAAAGTTTATCATCAATTAGAGGATTAGAAACTGTTGCTTTAGATGAAACACAAGAACAATTATTAAAAAAAGAATTAGATACATTTGTTAATGATAAAGATTTTTATGGAAGAATTGGTATGCCTTATAGACGTGGATTTCTTCTTTTTGGAAAACCAGGAACAGGAAAAACCAGTCTTATAAATGCGATTTCATCCCAATTATCTCGTGATCTTTATTATATTAATCTTAAAAACATTGTAAGTGATAATGAAATGAGTGCAGCTTTTAGTTCTGTACCATCCAATCAAATAATTGTTCTTGAAGATGTTGATGCTCAATCAAAAGTTCTTCATAAAAGACGTAATGATGATGATGATAAATTTTCTAAAGGAATTTCTTCCGATGATAATAAAGGGGGTAAAACTGGTTCTGGATTTTCTATGATTAGTTTATCAAATTTCCTCGGATGTTTAGATGGTCATATAATGTCTGAAGGTAATATAATAATTATGACCACAAATCACGCTGACCATTTAGATCCTGCTTGGTTAGTATATATTATATATATATATTATTTATATTGTATATTTTATCGATTTCACGATTGTTAATAATAATTTTTTTTTTGATTTTTTAAAATTAAAGTATTCGTCCCGGTCGTATGGATGTGCATTTAAATCTCGAATACTGCACACATTATCAAATAAAGAAAATGTATCGTAGTGTTGTTGAAGATTCTAAAGCAGAATTTCCTGAGGATATTTTACAAAAAATTCCTGAACGATTATTACCTCCTTGTGAAGTTATGATGACTATGGTATTATATAGAAATGATATAGAGCTTATTCCAGAAAAAGTTTGTGATTTGGTTAAAAAATATAAAGATATGAAACCTGAGGACATTGCAAAACAAATGGAAGAAGAAGCACGCAGAATTGAAGCTGCTTCTAAACAACCTGAAAAAGAAGAAACTAAGTCGGAAGAAACTAAATCTGAATCGAAAGAAACTAAAACGGAAGAAACTAAATCTGAAGGTGTTAAATCTGAAGCAACTAAAACTGATGATGTTAAATCCGAAGCAACTAAGACTGATGACGTTAAATCTGAAGCAACTAAGACTGACGATGTTAAATCCGAAGCAACTAAGACTGATGATGTTAAATCCGAAGCAACTAAGACTGACGATGTTAAATCCGAAGCAACTAAAGCTGACGAAGAGACCAAAGTCAAGAAAGCAGAGGATGAAGAAAAGAAAAAGGATGAAACTTTAAAAGTTGAAAATAAGTTGAATTCAACCAATATGACAAGAAGTTCTAGTAATCGTAGTGAAACAACTTGTATAAACGATGAAGAAAATGGTGGTAGCGGTAATACTACTGATGTTGAAGTAGATGATATTCAAACAACTAAGAATTTAAAATTTGAACCAATAATAACAAACGACACAAATCCTCAAATTAATGTTTCATAAGCATAGTTTAGGATATATACTTAAAGACGTTTTAGACTTTTAAGCTTTTAATAGCCTGTAAAAAAAAACATTGTTTCGTGATATATACATAATATATATCACAATATATATATATATATATATATATTCTTGTATTTACTTGAATTAATAAAAAACTCGTTAAATGATTAAATAAAAATGCATTTTATTTTTTATTGTAAAGGTTATACAGTACTGCACAACTTTTTTACTTTACTGTTAATAAATTTTTAAATTTTACGTTATTGCGATCAGATTCAATTGATCAGATTCAATTTGTTTTAAATGCAGATTATTTACAGGTACTATATTTATCAAAATTCTAAATTCTGGAAATTTAAATTCTGGAAATTTCAAGCGCAATTCATCCAAAAAAGTTTAAAAATTTAGGGTTACATATGCTAAAAAGGAAGGTGAACTCGTTGTCTAACAAAAACTTGTTGCACGTTTTTTTTAGTCTTTTAATTGATTAATCTTTAGTTACACGAGATAACATGCGGATAACATGCAATATGCAATATTTTTAAAAAGGTATAATTCTTCAGGGACAATATAAATAGGTTTTTTAATCTATTTTTCTGACCTTATTGCGACACGTCTCAACAACAAAAAGTCTTTTTTCATTAAAATTTTTCTTAAAAAAAATCTACTTTTGACAACTTTGATTAAAAAAAATGTTTGAAGCACGTCTAACCCAAGGTGCCTTACTTAAAAGGTTACTCGACTCAGTTAAAGAGCTTGTAACTGACGCGAACTTTGACTGTAGTGAAACGGGTATCTCTTTACAGGCTATGGATAACTCTCATGTCGCGTTGGTATCACTGATGCTTCGCGCCGAAGGTTTTAATCCCTATCGTTGCGACCGAGGTTTTTCTTTGGGCGTAAATTTAAACTCTTTAAATAAAATAATGAAATGTGCTGGAAACGACGATGTTATTACACTTAAAGCTGATGATAGTTCGGCTGATAGCTTGAGTTTATTGTTTGAAAATCCAAGTATATTTATATTTATTATTTAACAAAAAAGTTATGATATTTTAGTAAATTTTTCTATAAAATATTTTAATATTAATTTATGCTATATTTAATTTTCATTATTATTTAAAAGCTAATGAAAGACTTAGTGAATATGAATTGAAATTAATGGATATTGATCAAGAACATCTTAGTATTCCTGAAACGGATTATGATGCTACCATTATTATGCCTTCAAGTGAATTTCAAAGAATTTGTCGTGATTTGATGGTTGTGAGTGAATCAGGTATTCTATTTTTTTTATTCACGCGTTATTCGTTATCATCTTATAATCCTTATTTATTAAATTTATTATTTATTTAAATTTTTAATCAAATCAATCTAGTTACCATTGATGTTTCAAAAGGTGAGATAAAGTTTACTGCGGAAGGCGAATTAGGAACCGGAAATGTAAAGCTGAAACCGACTTCTACTATCGACAAGGTTAGTTTGTACTTTAAAGATTTTTTTTTTTTAATTTATTCTTTTAAATTCTTGTATTAACTATTTTGTTCGTTAAAATTACTTACCTTTAGCCTGAGGAATCTATTACAATCGAATTGGGTCAAACGGTTTCTCTCCAATTTTCTCTTAAATATCTATCAAACTTTACGAGAGGTACTCCTTTATCTGAACAAGTAATGCTTTGTTTGTCGGATAATATGCCTTTACTTGTAGAATATAAAATGGACATCGGTTATATCCGATATTACCTTGCCCCCAAAGTTGGTGATGAATAGAGTTGGTAAAGTCCTTAGGTCCGGGACTTTAGGTCCTGGTCTTTAAAGACCAAGTCCAAATGTAAGGTCCTAATGTCCTTAAGTCTTTAAAAAGTCCTAATATACAAATTTATAATTGCATAATTCTGGACAGCAAAATCAATTTATATATACAGTATAATTCAATAAAGTTTTAAATGCATAGTTTAAGTTCATAATCATTTATTTAATGTATATATTGTTATTACACATTCTAACGCTAATAGGTAAATGTGTGAAGGGTAACGTGAACTAGCCGCAGCAAAAAAACGTGATCTAAGTCAAGACTTTAATGCGTATTGATCGATGCCAATTCGGGTTTGGTTTGTCCATTGAATAACAATAGTAAGGCGCCTCTATAGTGGAACTAGTCATAGTCATGTAAATGATTATGAATTACTCATCGTTAGTCATACCGATACTCTAAATAGTCATATTGCTTAGAGATTCTGCCCCATAGCTCTCTGTAATAAATAACCATCGATTTCATGTATCTGAAAACAAGTGGTGATATAATAATAAAGACCATCTAATGATAAATTCCGGGTTCCTAGTAGCAGTAGGATCCTTGGTTTTCGGACCAAATCTTCCACGCCTTCTTTCGAGTAGCCTTGATTTTTGTTGTGTCTTAGGTTGCGAGTACTAGCCACCCCAAATCCCTTTTAAGGTTTTGTAGCCTTGGCTCTCTAGAGTGACTATAGAAAAGTAGTTTCACCCCATTTACAACATATAGCGGATCTAGGTTTTAGGACTAAGTCTTGGACTGAACCTAAGTTAACTAAAGTCCTAAAATTGGTTTTATAAGGACTTGTTCCACAGTAAAACCTACAGGTTACAAGACCAGGACCGGACCTGGGCTGGACTTTACCATCCCTAGTGATGAATAAACAGGATTATGTTCATTCTTGTTACTAGCAGTCAGACAATTTGTCACACTATTTTATATTGAGTATTTTTTTTTTTTTTTATGCTAATGGTGAGAATATTGAGCATTTTTTATTATATAAAATTATAATAAAAATATATAGAATTACATATAAGCTTTAAAGCCAAGATTCCTGCAAATTAAATTTCGAAAGTAAATCTATCGAAAAAATTATTTAAAATGGCATTTTAAAATTTTGTAAAATTTGTATATTTTGCTAATTTAAATTTATAAAAAAGAAAAATTTTCTGATTTGAGTAATTTATAATTAAGGTTTATTTTTTTTAAACCTTTAAAATTAAATAACTTATAATTTACTAGTTTATATTGCCAAAATGTTCATCTTTTCCAACAAGCCCAAAATTATTTAAATCTAATTAACAAAATCACAATATAATTTACTATCAAATAGTAATGCATCTAAAAGGTAGAAGTAATTGGTTAGATATAGATCTCACCTTCTAGATGTGTTACTATTTGACAGTAAATTATCTTGTGATTTTGTAATTATATTTGAATAATTTTGGGCTTGTTGAAATTGTGATAAATATTTTAGTAATAAAATTAAAACAAGTTAGTAAATTAAAAACTATTTATTTTAAAATTTTAAAATTTTAAAAAATAAACCTTAATTATAAATTAAATTAGTTTATATAACAAGTTAAAAAACAAAAAGAAAATTTCTTAATAAAAAAAAAGTTTTGTATATACTAATATTAAAATAGTTATGACTCTTTCTGATGATTATTTGGACCAAAATTTTCCACAAAATAAAAATCAAGTTTGGATACTGAAGAGTAGAAAAAACCTGTAGTGGGTAAACAACAGAGCAGTTTTTATAAAGGTCAATCTTTTATGCTCTTACAAGGACTTTTTTATATATTTGACCTGCAAGCTGAAAGTGTCTTTATATAAGATAACTGGCTAGAAAAGTACGCCTTTGTATATGAAATTTTGGTAGGAAATATGGTTTTCTTCTGTTGATGAAGTATTTTGTTGCTAAATAACTAGGAAACAGTGAAGAACTTGCTATTCTTAAGCTGCACTCTTTTACTTGGTCAAGTGACTCCTTTCTTACTTACTTCTATTTTCCTGCCAGCCTTCCAAATTTTTTTACAAAAAGTGGGGATTTGGCTTACCTCTCTAAAAGATTGTCATTGTTTATATCCCAAATTCAGACAAACTTAGTTAAATACAACTATATGTCTTGTTTACTTGCAAATATTATGCTACTCTACATGATCTGAATTGGGGTCTCTAGGTAATGAGATATTCAAAGTGGGTTAATAGTTAAATGGTGTATATGTTAAAGCTTGCTTTATATTAAAATATACAATCATTGTGGTTGTTATATAATTTTTACTTTAACCTGGCATGGGTTAGAATAGTGCTATCTTTTTTGGTTTTTTTTTTGCATTTTCTTTTTATATTCTTCTTCATATTTGTTTTTGTTTTTTTTATTTTATTTTTCTTTGTTTTTCTTTTTTCTTTTTTTTATCATATTCGTTTTCTTTTTGTTGTTTTTTTTTATTTCCCTTATTTTCTATACCTCTTTGAAGAAGGAAAAATGTTAAGAAAAAGGCAATTTTAACAAAGCTAGCAATAAGCTTTTAGTGATTTTTTCGAGAAGTTATCTAGCAAGTTAGATGCTAGAGAGAAGTGAATTATTGCTGCAGTAGATTATATCTAGATATTTCTGAGTAGCTGTGTGAGCTTTTATTAAGAAAAAGAAAGGGTTGTTGGCAATAGCCAAAAACTTATGTATTGATTATGCATTTTTTATATAATAAAGGCAGGATTGCCAAATTAAAAAAAATTAAAATGGTCTAGGCATCCAACTCTCTATAAGCAGGTTTTGAATTCAAGTTCTAGTAGATATGTTTATCTATAAATATTTAAATATACTCACTATGAGAAATCTAAGTGAATACAGGTTTAGATTAGAAATTTTTGAAACAAACAAAAAATCTGTACCAGGTTTTGTCAATTGTGACACCATTAGGCATATAATTCCTAATGTTTGTGTAACTTTCACTTGCGCATATGCTAAAAAACATGTGCCAATTCTTGATATTTTTTGCATCTTCTATGAAAGTTTTTCGACAATTGGCTGATTAACATTAATAATCTCTTTTTTTTTTAATTCTACAAGTATGCAAAATCAAAATAAAAAATTTTATCAAATTTGACCTAATAGATATCAAGAAAACTTCAATTAAAGTTTTAAAAAAATGTCAAAAATCTTGAAAATCAAATGGCTATGAAGTAGGGCAAAAAGGGGAGTTCTGGTACACTTTTTTGGTACTCTGGGTACTAAAGTATTCATTTTGCTTTTTAGATCGCTCAAGAAGTCTATATTCTATAAAA